CCGTGACATCGTGCTCTGGCGCATAACCCGAGCTCGTCAGAGCCTTCAGCTGCCTCACCAGCTGGGGTGTGAAGCTGCGGAACTCCCCCACCATCTCGGGATCGTGCTGGCAAATATCCGTCACCAAGGTGATGCCGCACAAGAGCACACCGTGGTTCCTGTCCTGCAGCAACAGCTTGGCCTTCTCCACAAAGTGTTCCTGGAGATCAGGGACCTTTCGGATAATCCTCATCGCGCAGAGAGCCGCCTTCTTCCGGATGTACGGATTCGCAGTAGCCAACAGGCCCTCCACCTCCTGGAACAGATCGCGGGCCATCTCCTGCGACGCAATGTTTCCGAGGGTACACAGCGCGAGACCGACGACATATTGGTTCGAGTGCTGGAGATCACTTGTCAAGGTCAGCCTTGGCCCTGAGCCATAGCTCAACACCTACTTTTGTAACGAGTTCGTGACCAGCGTCAACACCTCCTGGTTCTCATCGAGGAGCAACATTGTCCCCAGGTAGCCCAGGCGCTTGTCCGCGAAGCGCGGCGATGCGAGGAGCTTCAGACATTCAATCTGGCCGAAATGCGTGCGTTCACCGAGCGTGAAGAGGTAGAGGAGCTTTGCAACATTGTTTCTCCTGGTTGAGCATGAACGTCAGTATAGCTCCACCACACCGCAAGGACGCACGGCTCAATGTCAAATCACACACCTGACGTTCTGGTCGCCCGACTCCTCCCGGAACGAAGCTCTGATAGCTGCACTCTCCTTTTGGACAACGCTCCGCTCGTCTTGCAGTGTCTTTGCGCTCCGTACGGCTCGTATGAACTGTTTGACTGTATCCGGGTGAGCGGGATCTGGGTGCTGAGGGATCGGGAGACGTACGGGTGCTCATTCTTGGCCTTCAGGGTCGGGGATGATGGATGGGCGGGAGCTCTGGAGCTGTATTGGGTTGGATGGAGGGGCGTTAGGAGGTCGGGACAGCGTCAGCGGAGGTGAGAGGGAACTTACCCGGAGCTGCGAGTGCCCGCCCACCATCACCACCAGCCAGTCTGTCTCCCTGATGATCACACCTCCGCTCGACACACACCACGCCGCTTGTTCTCCAGCCATCTCCCCAAAGAATCCGCCGCCATGGACATGTCAAAGTTCCAAAACTTTGGAAAGAACATTTCCAGCACCTTCACCCCGTTCGCCAACCGCACGGGACAGCTGCTGCGTGAACAGCTCGGCCAAGCTGAGGACAAGGTCCGTTGGAGCTCCGGAGAGGCCACTGTGGTCCAGCTACTCACCCTCTGCAGACCCAGCTTCCTCCCGACTACGTCGAGCTCGAGCACCGTGTGGACGCCTTGAAGCAGGTGCACTCGAAGCTCCTCTCTGTTACGTAAGTGCCAGCTTGACCTCACCTCAACCTCTACTAACCTCCTCAGGTCGCAATATGCCAACGAGGTCAGTCAACTCAGTCCACCACCTCCCAGCTTTACTAACAGTCCCTCCACAGTCCTACGACTACCCCCCGAACTTGGTACCCCTCCCCCCGCACCCACCACTACCCCGCTAACCCTCCAGCGCGAATCCTTCCTCGACCTCGCGCACTCCATCTCCGACAAGGTCGCCGCCGTCTCGACCGCCTCCTCCGCCGCGGAAGCGCAACAAGCCCTGACGAAACCCGGCAAAAAGCCCGCCCCGAAAACCTTCAACCATGCCCTCGGCCGTGCCTCCCTCACCTGCGCACACATCCTCGACTCCAGTGAACCCCTCGCAACCGCCCTCGAAAAATACGCCCTCGCATCCGAGCAAGTCGGTGAAGCGCGCCTTCACCAAGACCAGCAAATCGTCCAGCGCTTCAACTCGGCCTTCACCACGACTCTCAACACCAACATCAACTTCGCCGCCAAAGCCCGCAAGAACGTTGAAAACGCACGTCTCTCCCTCGATGCAGCCAAGGCGCGTGCGAAGAACGGCGGGATGGGGTTCGCGCTCCCCGCGGGCGTTGGCCGGAAGGAGGGACATGTTGGGGAAGACCACCTGACGGAGGAGCAGCGCGTGGAGATTGAGACCGCGGAGGACGAGTTCGTGGGCGCGACTGAGGAGGCGGTGGGGGTTATGAAGAACGTCCTCGACACCCCGGAGCCCCTCAGGAATCTCGCGGATTTGGTGCAGGCGCAGCTCGAGTTTCATAAAAAGGCGTACGAGATTTACGCAGAGTTGGCGCCGCTGATTGAGAGCTTGCAGGTCGAGCAGGAGGTATGTCCATAGTCCTCGTACCTCTGTTTACCCTCTTGTTCTTCTTGTTGTTGTGTGCCCTGCAAGCCATGCCATCCCCCGCTCTATTGCGCCCATGGCTGATATCCCCTCCCCTTTCCTTCACGGCGCAACAGTCCCAGAGGTCATCGGAATACGATCACGGTGCCCGGGAAGCCTAGACTTTGCCCACTGACATCCGCTTCTCTCGTGTAGGCGAGTTATCGGAAATCGCGTGACGAGCATGCGTAGACGGTGGTGGGGTGTTGATGGAGCTGTTGGGAGCTGTTGCCATGTGGAGGAATGCGGCACAGTATGGTGGGGGATTTGGGATGGTTTTTATGGATGAGGGATCGAAAGAAAGCTTGCGTTGAGTTTGATATGGATGTTGTGGTGATGGGAGAGTGATCTGGTTTGGTTTGATTCCGAATATCGAATGCAAAAGTGCATTTCTTGCTCTGAGGCCCAAATTGATGCATCTTTCGTCCCGGTTCAGACTGGGTTACACTGATTGGTGTAGCCCACCGAGCCTTCTTCTTCCATCCCACAATCATCGCTCTCCAGTACCTCCCACCATCATCAGCCATCAAAAGCTTCAATTCATGGTGGGCCTGCAACCTGCCATGCAACACGAGCTTCTGAAACCGCCTTCTCGATACGCCATCGCACCGCTCACGCGGGTGAGTTCATGCGCAGCGCAGGCTGCATCACGTTGGGTCGACGATAATGTATCCCCTCTCTCTGTGCTGGTGTTTGGCTCGGTCTTACTAATCAGACACCGCATATACCATCAGGTACCACAGCAGATGTAGACCGCGCGTGGTAATAGCATCATGATTGATTAATTGATTTGATTGTAATCATTTAAGCGCATGCGTCCCTTTGGGATATGGCGCGAGAACTAACATACAAAACACCCCCTTTCCGCAGCGTAACGCTGCTTCTATTCGACAGACTCTGCTTCATCCGTTTTCAACCATTCTCTCGCCGGCCTTGCTGCCTTTGCAGTGGCCGCCTTTTGAGCTGTACCCTGCTGTGCACTTATACTCTCCTATATCCACCGGTTTCTTCTTCCCTTGCTTCTTTATATGCTCATATCCTCTTCTCCCCCGTCCTCTCTCTCCCATCCCCATTCATCGAGCACCCGCTCTTCTTCGACTCGGTCCTCTACTTCTGTTTTTGGTCTGCCCACGAGCGCTTCCTCGATGAATTTTAGGATTGCCGGGGTGGCCCTCGGTTCTGCGAAGATTGTCGACAATGCATGCATCTTCGTGAACCCGTCTTTCTTCAGCGCGTTCCAGAGCCCCTCTTGCTCCCTTCTCCATACTCTACACTCCTTAAACAGGTGGTCTCGGGTCTGGCGTGGTCTGTCGCACCACCATCATTCGTCGCTTACTCTTTTTCCTATCGACTTCAGGTAGACGGCCGTGACTGCGTGGTCTGCCGCGAACCTGTAGTATTGTACGGCCACCTTTTTCCGAGCTTTTGCTGCTATTGAGTCCATTCTGGTCGATTTCCTCAGTTTATATCGCTGGGGGTAGTACTTTTGGCACTTTTCCCCAAACCACTTCTGTTCTTCTTGACGTCTGGCTTCGTTGACGAGCCGGCTAATGTGGGCTAGTGAGGGTTTCTGCGTCCCCCGGGGGTTCGGGTTACAAGTGGCAGCTTCTTTTGCTGCTATGTCTGCTACCTCGTTGCCTATGATGTCTTGATGTCCCGGCACCCAGTGCAGGTGTACCTCGACTCCCCTCTGTCGCAGTGTATCGTAGCTTCTTCGGATTTCATCGGCCCTCTGTTGCCCTGGCCCTGGTTCTGATGACTTGATTCTTTCCAGCGCAAATTTGGAGTCTGTGAAGATCCGTATTTCGTCAGGCTTAGCGCTTGGTGACATGGTTTTCAGGGTCCCCGCAATCGCGAATAGCTCGGCGTCGATGGCTTCCTGGTTCCTTCCCAAGGTCCAACCCTGGGTCTTCCAGGTCCCATCTGCGTCACGCCATGCCGTCGCTGCTCCAGTGTCACCCTCTCGGTTCTTTGATCCGTCTGTCCAGAAAACCTCCACCAGTCTTTGGTTGGTGGCCAGGGGTCTGAGCTCATATATATTGGCGGTTCTTATGGCCTTCTCGCGTTCTTCGATATGTACTGATCTATGGGGTACCGGTTTAGTAGGATGTGGGGGTATCCTCTCAACGCCAAAGGACATATCCGTTAAGTCGTGAATGCAGTCTCGCAGAGTCCTTCCCAGGTTGATTGTTTTCTCGTGCCCGATGCTATACGAATCCATTGGGATAATCATTGCCAAGGGGTGGTCGGTCGGTAGCTTCAGGGCCCGGAGAGCATATTTTCTCTGGCGGTAGCGTAGAAGAGTTGATGCGGGGTGTAGGCCAGCTTCTCTGACCAGTGGTCCTATGGGTGTCGTTCGTAGCATACCTGTGATGGCGCGGGCTTGCTCATTGACGAGTATCTGGATTTGGAGGATTCTCCCGTCCGCTCGGTCTTTCCTCCACCAGAGCTCCGCTCCATACAGCGCTATTGTCTGCGACGTGGCTACTAGGATTTTCCCTGACATGCGACGGGGAGAGTCCTTGGGCTGACGCCAGCCTCCGAGCTTGGTACAACACTGTACGGGCTTTTTTCAGCACAATATTATGGTGTTCCTGGAGTTTTAGGTGGCTGTCAAGCCATACACCAAGCCATCTAGTTGCCGGTAATAGCATCATGGCAGTCATTACACTGGTCATATATAAGTTACAAACATATGACAGGGAAACGAAACGGTCCCTTAGCTCAGTTGGTTAGAGCGTGGTGCTAATATCGAGGATGATATACTCGCTATGTAGTGGAGAACATGTAGCAATACTTACTAACGCCAAGGTCGCAGGTTCGACCCCTGCAGGGACCATATTTTACTTGGGTTTCACTTTTTTGCTTCTTGATGGGGGGAGGGAAGTGGGATGTGGTGGTGGTGGTGGTTGTTTGTTAAGCTGCGGAGAGTTGAGTTGAAATCAGGGCATGCAGGATTGAATTGGGTTGGTGCCTTCTCGGATCTCACCCGGTACACCACCACATGCCAGGAACCGCGGTAGTAACGACCTCCACCTCCACCACCACCACTAGCTCTCCCCCACATCCCGCATGTAGCTCCCCTCCAGCCTCCTCCACGCCGTGATGCTTCCCTCCACCTCCTCCCTCCTCTACAGTATCTCCCGCTCGCTCCTCCTCGTTCGTCGCCAACCATGAGCACCCGCACCTCCACCACCGGCATTCCAATCATCTCCAAAATCGACACCAGCATCGCCGACCCCTAACACCCCCTCCAGTCCTTCGGCGACACGCTCACCCCCAACCTGCGCCTCCTCACGGCCACCTCCTCCCCCGCACAAGTCACCTTCACCTTCACAGTCACGCTCGCCCTTTGCAACGCCCTCCAAAATCTCCACGGTGGCGCCGCCGCCCTCATCTTCGACGTCACGACGACATGTGCGGTGGTGCCGTTGTCGAAGCCCGGATTTTGGGAGAACGCGGGCGTGACGAGGAGTCTGAATTGTAGTTATCTGAGGCCGCTGCCGGAGGGGAGTGTGGTGACGGTGGAGGCGAGGGTGGTGCAGGTGGGGAGGAGGTTGGTGAGTGTTGTGGGGGTTATGAGAGGGGAGGGGGGGGAGGTGGCGGTGATGTGTGAGCATACGAAGATGGTGGTTGATGGTGAGGGTGGGAGGGGGAAGCTGTAGTGGGGAGCTATAGTGGGGGAGCTGCCTCGGGGGAGGAGTAGAAGGATAGCATGATACTGGTGGGGGGGGAGGAGGGGTTTGGATACAGCTGGAGCAATGATCAAGTCGTCTACCAGGGCTTGGAAATAAACCTTCCGCCCTCCGCACAGTTTCCGTTTCTCATTTCCATTTCCATTTCCATTTCCTTCCTCACCTCCGCTCCTCAGATCAAGCCCCAAAGTCCACCACCGATCCGACACTCCGCCAGCATCTCACAATATCCCACCTCTTCCGCACCCCCCGGCTCCCCACCTCGCCGCCGTCACCGCACCCCCGCCACCTTCCCACGGCATCACCCCCCTCGAACTCCTCACGGCGCTCTCAAGCACTGCTCTCCACGCCGTCCAATCTTTCCTCACCGTGGACCCGCAAACGCTCTACGAGCTCAGCGGGTTTCTTCTTCTCGGAGCACTACTCTACCAGTTGATGGCGGTGGTGTGGATCGGGATCTGATGGTGGACAGGCGTGCCAAATGAGGTGATATACTGGGCGTGGTGGAAGGTTTATTATCTTGTTGGGGTGGTGCTGGGGGTTGGGGGGTGCTGAGGTGGGCGCCGAGGGAGGTGGTGGAGAGGAGATTTTGGGGGTGATGGGGTGATGGGGTGATAAGGGGGTCAGGACTCTAAGTTGGGATTGGGATTATGGGATAGGGATGGTTATCATGAAAACACGCAGCAGTTGAACCTCAGCTCAGCGCCCCCATCACTGTGCGAAAATCTCATTTTCATAGTCCTGGCTGCGAAATGCGTCTACTTAACATCATGTCTCACGCTTGAAAAAAAAGATGCAACCTTTCCACACCCTACAGTAATGGCTATGTCCATCTTGATAGCAGTATCAAGCTGCGCCAGATCCCCCCCAAGTCGCTGCCTTGCTGGTCCGTCTCTACAACAGGTTCCATAAAACAGTTGAGGACAGATTTGCCCCGAAAGAGGTTACAACCCCGGAAGTAATCATCCCCAGAGGCGCACCGATAACGATCCGTCTTGTGGTTTTGTTGCTTACGGCGGTCATTTTGACGTGTCTCCGAACTTTGTACCCCCTTCTCGAAGCTGCTGAGGCAATAGAACATGTTGGTACTGTACCGGTGACGGTCAGTTGCTTCTGTTCTGCAGCATTCGGGAGAAAGTTTGTTGACAGACAGAGGGTGGAAGGAGGGGCACGGAAACCAAGCATCGAAACTCACTCGCATTTCTATCCAAATCCAAGGTGATTCAATACCACAACCACACCTCATGATTGTCATCGTCATCATGTATGAGATACAGAACCCGCCCACCACCCACACTTCCTCCTACAGCGTCCGATCAACTCCCCCGCCTCATTCCCATCTCTCCTGCTGCTCTGCTAACCCCCCCCAAACCCCAACATCACCATCACTCCGCCCGGCCGTCCTTCCACTCCCATCCTCCAACTCCCAGCAACCTTCAACCTGTAACATCTCTATCCCCGTCACCCCTCCTCAACTCCCATCCATCCACCTCATCAACCTTGAGCTTGAACCCCCACGCACATTCAACCTGCATGCACGATAACGCAAACCCACCCACATCTTTACCTCTCCACGCATCATATATCCGCGTCGACATAACCGATATGTTACCTATCTATCCATCTCTCCATATCTCCATCCATCTATCAGGGTGCACACGTATCCAGGGCTTCAATTCGCGTTACGGATGACGTGCTGGACGAGGACGAGGGATCGAGGTTAGTCGTACCTGACGTTCTAGTGTCGCAGCCACGGGCCCACCACGTGGGAAGTCTGGAATGCTGGAGGTTGAGGGACGCTACAGTTGGCGACTCCTATATTCCCTGAGCCGTCGACAACTGCATCACGGTTTCAGGCCGCTATCGTCTACCATCCCGAGTTGCTCGCTATCTCGCTCTATCTTGCTCGCAAATCTTCTCACCCGCTCTGGGTTCACATATCCGAGACACCGCCTGTGATGGTAACAGCCACAAGCGGTGATTCGTCATGGCACTTCATCATTCTTCGTGATGACGCTGATCACAAGGACCAGTACATAGATACCGCTGCATCTAACGTCGTATAGCGTCGCGTACGGAACCGAATCGAGTCGATGCTCCAGTTCCCACGTTCCAGAAGCTCGAATCTCGCGCGAATAATAATACTCACTCACTCACTCACTCACTCACTCTGTTTCTCCCTCTCCCTCTCTCTCGCGCTCTCTATCTGTCTCTAATATCCAGCGCACCATGAATCTCGAACCTGGACTGTGTTCAAGTTCGTGCAACCTCACCACCACCGTCAGTGGCGTCAATTCAACTCAACGTTCCAGACTCCCCCGTCCCTCGTCCAAACCCACCACCTTTCGAACCATGGCCGTCTATCGGCCAGTCGGAACATCACGGCGCACCGGCATCGGCACGACAAGAAAACGTGAAAAACGTGGCGGCCCGGCGGTGGATCTGGGCGTCATGGGCGGCCAGATAGGGCGGACGGGTGGGGGTTCGACGACTCGATGTCCGAGTCACCAGCTACGTAGAGAGAGAGAGAGAGGTGTTTCGTTGAAGAAAGAGCGGGATTGCGGGGCCGTGGTGGGAGAAATAGAAGAACACGAACGCGTGGGGCTTGACGGGAAGGACTTGGGGAGGGAGTAGTATGTATGTATGATAGAGATTGTACTCTAGAATAGATTATGATGTTGCAGAGTTACCGGTATCATATTGCGTAATAACCAAGCTGAGGCTGCTCTCTCACCGTTCACCGGGTGCGGTAGGTATTCCAGAAGCTTCCTTGTCCTGGGCCGGAGATTCGAGAGATTGGAGACCACATGGCACAAAGATACCGGTATACTACAGTTGAGAGATGCAATGGCGATGGCGACGGGGAGATCTCATCAGTTCAATATTGCCCATATATACGATTCGACGTTGTATGCGGTGGTTAAGAATATCCTCCCTTCCTCCCTCCGTCCCTCCGTCCCTCAGGTTCTCGTTCTTGCAGTGTCCCGCACCGGCGAGTGTATGGAGTTAAGAATACAGAGTATACACGCCATACAATATCACGATCGATATACAGATGCCGTCCATCCGTCCGAGCACCCAAGAACCCACGCATCCCAGCATCCCAGCATCCCAGCATCCCAGCATCCCAGCATCCCAGCATCCACCCGCAACGCCTCATCACCGTGACCTCCGACAACCTGCCTCATCTCTTGCATCCTCGTGTTGCGTCCAAGCCACACCACTGTGCCCAGTGTGCCACAACCTCCACCACAAAGCCCACGAGGCTCCACGAGGCCCACCAGATTCCACGCGGTGCGGCACAACACCGTCGATGATGCCACAAAAACACGGAAAACGTGGGATCAGCGTGGCAGCGAGCGGTGTTCGTCATGCCCACGCCCACGCCCTTCCATGGCACAGCACAGCACTACAAACTCGCGCTCGCGGGAAAGATTACTACTCATATGGTAGTGCTATACATACGCTGTAATGCCAATGCCATGGCTATGATTGGTGGCCCCCACTGGCAGCGCATCACAGCGCATCACAGCGCATCAGGATGGATGGAAGGAAGCAATCACAGTGCACCCACAGGGCGGGCGCCTGCCAGCTGGGAGAGTACAGAGGGTATAGGATGGGTGGACGGGGAGGGGAGGGTTAAGGATGGACGACACAAGATGCGGGGAAGCCGAGAAAAACGTGGGCTGCGTGGGCGTTTGGTGTAGGTGGGGAAGGGGTGAGGGAGAGGGGACAATGAAGGGGGGATGTGACGGTGTGACGAGGATGAGGGGGATGGGGATGACAAATTTCCCGCCATCGCCATCACATCGAGCGAGTACCTCATCCGCATCAACAAACCATCATGATAAAATGGGACGTTGAGATAGAGAGAGCTGGAGCAGGGGAAGTCAGTCAGAAAGAGGTGCCAGTGCGAGCCCCAGGCATCATCGATCGTTGAAAGCGAAAAGACCCGACTCGATCCAGCCCACACTCCCACACTCCCGCACATCCGAAGTTGCAGGGCCACCACACACACAGACACACGCACGCAAAATGTTGAAACCTGACTATGAAGTTATGTATAATACGGTCCCCGCGGTTTGGTACCGATGCATTGGGGGACGGTTGGCGCATCATCATCATTTGCATCATCATCATTTCC